CCATTTGGCCAATCGGCCCGAGAGCTCGGGCTTGTGCATGATGTTCCTGAGTGGGTAAGAGGTTATGACACATATATGATGACATTGAAAGTACTGTTTTAGTTTCATGGAGGCGCTTAGCAAAGCAAGCGCCAATTTTTCCAGGTAAGGATACCTTGTTTCGGCCTCGCCTGGAGTTCTACTAACATAGTAAATAGGAAATTGCGGATCTTCCTCCTCCCGGACTAAGACTCCACTTACCGCCACCTCGGATACCGCCAAGTAAAGGTACAACTGCTCATCCGCCTTCGGAGTATGAAACAGGGGTGGACTCCAAAGGTATCGTTTGAGTTCTTCCAAAGCTTGTTGGCATTTCGGGGTCCAGGAAAAATTCTTCTCCCTTTTCAACAGTGAGAATAATCGATGGCTTTTGTCCGAGGACCTCGATATGAACCGTTCCAGGGCGGCTGTACATCCGGTCAGTCTATGAACGACCTTGATGTTGTCCACCACAGTGATGTCTTCTATGGCCTTGATCTTGACAAGATTAATCTAAATCCCCCGATTGGATACCATGAATCCGAGGAACTTTCCCGATCCGACCCCGAATGTGCACTTCTCCGAATTCAGCTTCATATGTTGAAGGTATCCTGCAAATGTTTCAAATGGTCCTCTGCTCGCAAGGACTTAACTAACATGTCATCAATATAAACTTCCATTGTTTTTCCTATCTGTTCTTCGAATATCCGGTTTACTAGGCATTGATAAGCGGTACCAACGTTCTTTAATCCGAATGGCATTACATTATAACAGTAGGTGCCGAATTCAGTGATAAAGAAAGTCTTTTCTTGGTCGCCCGGGTCCATCCGAATTTGGTTGTACCCGGAATAGGCATCGAGAAAGCTGAGCAGCTCATTCTCGGCAATGGAAATGAATCCTTAGGGCATGCTCTGTTCAAGTCTTTGTAATCTATACACATTTTTAGCTTATTTTCCTTTTTAGGTATTACCACTACGTTAGCTAGCCAGTCCAGGTACTTAACTTCCCAAATGGATCCTATTTTAAGAATTTAGATACCTTGTCCTTGATGAAGGTGTACTTGACCTCGGACCGTGGTCTCCTTTTTTGCTTACCAGACGGAACTTCGGGTCCAAACTTAGCTTATGAGTGGTCACCTCCGGCAGGATCCTTGTCATATCAAGATGGGCCCAAGCGAAACAATCTATGTTAGCTATAAGTAATTCAATGAGTTTGTTCTTGAGCTCGGGAGTTAACCCCGTGCACAGGTATACCTGTCGATCAGGCAAGTGTTCGATCAATATAGCTTGCTCCAGCTCCTCGACCATTGATTTGGTGGCATCAGAATCATCAGGGGCGATGAACGACCTAGGGACTCCGTAATCAACATCCTCGCTCTTCCGATTCAGTCGGGGCCGGTATCGGTGATTTCTATTTAGTTCCTTCCTTCCTAGTCGGCTCCGTGTTCTTTGATGTCGAGAGCACGGGCACCAGGATCACCTCATTGACTGTGAATATTTCCTTTGCTGTCGGCTGCTCTCCGTAAACTGTCTTGATTCCTCCCGGTGTGCAGAACTTCAGTGCCTGTTATAATTTCTAGGGTACTACCCTCATGTTATGAACCCAAGGCCTTCCAAATAAGGCGTTATACCTCATGTCCCCTTCGATCACGTAGAATTTGGTATCTTGAGTCGTCCCGACGATATTTACTGGAAAAGTTATTTCTCCTTTGGTAGTTTCGCATGCCCTGTTAAATCCGTTCAACACCCGGACCGCCAGCACTATCTGATCTTGTAGCCCCAACTGTTCTACGACCCTTGATTTGATGATGTTGGCTGAGCTCCCTAGATCAATCAACACATGCTTGACTCGGGATTTATTTATAAGTATGCATATTTCCAGTGCATCATTATGAGGTTGAACGTTGCCCTCGGCATCCTCGTCGCTGAACGAAATGGCTCCCTCCGGGATATAATCTCGGGTGCACTTTTCCCTCGTGATGGATACTTTTGTGCACTTTGTCACGGGCCCTTGAGGGACACCGACCCCTCCAATGATCATGTTGATGACGTGTTGAGGTTACTCTTGGTCGGCCTATTTGTTGAAGTCCTGTTCCTGAAGTGGTTTTTGGCTCGATCACTCAGGAATTCCCGGAGATCCTCGTTTTTAAGCAACCGTGCAACTTCTTCCCTCAGTTGTCGGCAGTCCTCGGCCCTGTGGCCATGAGTGCTATAATACTTACATATCAGGTTAGGGTCTCTCTGGGTAGGGTCGGATTGCAATGGTCGAGGCCACTTGGTCTCATTGATGCGTTCAATGGCCGATACGATGCTTGCTGCGTCAACATTGAAGTTATACTCTTACAATCTTGGAGCTTCCCTCCCCCCGATCGGCCTGTCAAAATCACTTTTGCTCATCAGGCCTCGGTTATTGGGCCCTCGACCGCCTCTCTTTTTGTTTCTTGTAGAGTTGTGCCCGGACCCGTTTCCCCTTCGATCTGAGCTATATGGTTGATACCGATTTCGGACTGACCTTGATTCATGATTGACGATTCTCTTAGGCCTGTCATCGGTTCTGATAGGATAAACGGACCCGGAAGGGGCTCCGAGTTGGTCATCCCCGACTCTGATTTTTGACTGGTAACTGTTGTGGACTTCGACCCAATACTGCCGGGTATTCTACCAAGTTTTACTTCAGCTTCTGCAAAGCCAAAGAGCTTGGGTGGTTGATTCCCTAAGTAAATGCCTGAACGACCCAATCTTTTGCAACCGGAGGCAAGTCCATCCGTTTTATTTGAAACCTCGAGACGAACTTCATGGGCATCTCGTTGTCCTTTTGCTTAACCTTGAAAAGATCCGATTTTCTAGTCTCGACCTTGATGGCCCCGACATGAGCCTTCACAAAAGCATCTGCTAGCATAGCGAACGAATCAATGGATTTTGGGGGCAAGTTGTGGTACCATATCATCGCTCCTTTTGACAGAGTTTCCCCAAACTTCTTTAACAACACTGACTCGATTTCGTCGTCTTCCAAGTCATTGCCTTTGATGACGCATGTGTAAGAGGTCACATGCTCATTTGGATATGTGGTTCTATTATATTTTGGAATATCGGGCATACGAAACCTCTTCGGGATTGGTTTCGGTGCCACACTCGGAGGAAAAGGCTTTTGGATAAATTTCTTAGAGTCCGGCCCTTCAATATTGGAGGCGCTCCTCGGATTTGATCAACCTGGAAATTATATGTCTCTACCTTCTTGTCATTTACTTCAATTTTCTTTTCACCTGATTTCACTTGTTTCGTTAATGCCTTTAACATTTTCATTACTTTAGGGTTGACACCGGACTCAGCTTCACCGTGCCTTTCAATGATCTGCTCATTTCTTCGGGTGTTTCGAGCTCAACACTGTTGGGGGCGCGACTTTGGTTTTGCAGCTGCGCTATCACCGCATGCTGAGCCTGGAGCATTTCAAAGATCAATCGTAGACTGACCCCGTCTCCCCTGCTTTCGGGTGCTCCTTGAGCCGTTGGTCGGCTCCTCCGCGAATGCTATTTTCGAGGTCGGTAAGAAGATTGGCGTCAATGGCTACATGTGAGTTAGCATCGACTGTGTCTACGACGGGGACCTTGTTAGGATCAGCAGGGGGCACCTCATTGCTAGGCACCAGATTGTTGTTTTCGCCATGATGGCCAGACCCATCCTCAATGTTCAAATGAGCGAACAGAGAGTTTGACATTTTTAAGGTGACCTTAAATTAAGACCTGAAAGAACAAGTGTAAAATAGAGTGTATTATGGAGATTTGTATCGAACCACCACTATTATCCTTATCCCCATGGTGGGCGCCAAACTGTTTATCCTTAAAATGGATAACAATTAAATTTGTATACGGTTGTAAGGATATGTGGATTGATTCAACACAAGTAATCAAGAATGTTAGATAAACGAATAAAAGACAAAATGAATAATCAAACCAATTGTAATGCTATGGCATATCTTGAACTTGGGTTGGACAATGGTTTTGCCTTCGATCGGACCCTCGGTTGGAAGCCAATAGAGAATGAATAACTAACAGTAAAGTAACAACTTTGCTGTAGCTAGAGAGTAATAAAAATGAAATTATATTGTCTTAGTATGCGTGTTACAACGTGTCCATTAAATAAAACTACCCCCTTTATATAGTAGGATAGTTTCACCCCTAGTACAATTCTAAGAAAGGTAAAAAATTATTTTTCATTAATCAATGATCCGCTGACGATACGGGACGAGATTTGCGCCGTGATATCCGATGGGGTGTGGATATCGCGGTCCTCTGTTGGTCGTGTGTAACCGTTATCGTATTTTTCGAGGTCTCGGAGCTCGTTCCGGGATCAGAGAAGTAATATTTTATCAAGTCCGGTGGCGACCTATCCATTCGGACATTAGTACGAGGCGTCCCGGCTTCGATTACGACCCCACATAATCATTCCCCTTGCTTCGTTTGACCCGCTGAGAAGTTGAGGTGTCGGTTACCCTTGGTTTTAACGATATGCAAACACATTTGAGAACAATTAACTTAAATAGCCGATCACTCAATCACTTTAACTAAAAAAATCCGACAAATGTATAATATATTATATATATAATCGTATATAATCCGTATATACCGGCTAGGAAAGCAAATAATGAAACCCAGTGGCTATTAAAGTAAAGACGCTATATTTTAAGTACATCTCATAAAATTTGTGCGAGGTTCTGTTTAATAAAACTAACCTCACTCCAAAGTCCAACCAACCCGTGTCCTTCGAAAGGTTTAATTCAATTTCGGATTTAATCAAATGATAAGCATCTGCTAATTTGCTCAGAAGATTCAGTTTATCACCTCAATCACTTACTGCTACTCCAATCCAAAGAAGTTCCCCAATTTTACTATCCAAAGCTGGTAAAGTTTAATTTTTTTTATAACTTTCTATTCATTAGGATAAATATCTGATTTTTTCATATTAAATTATGTTCAATGATCACGATTTGCACTTGGGCATTTTACCATTGTAGAATAAGATACTCTGCTCTGTCCCAGTTTATGCACTACTGTTTCCTTTTTAGTTTGTTGACACATTATCCTTAACGGGATGATTTATAGCCATAGAAATTGCTATGGTTAAGCTTCGTGCCCAGTCAAAGTGCATCAGTTAAATTGGGACGGAAGGAATGTATAGTTATAAGAATCCTAATTTTCTAACATTTGGTGTCACTTTCTATATTTATTCATAGTTATGAAACTCTAAGATTTATATGTGGGATTGAGGTATAGTTAATTGATTGGTTCTGGAGGGTACATTTCAGGCTCATTTCGATGGATTTTTCTGTTTATACAAGCCGGTATTTCACTGCTCTTATGGGGTAATCCAAAAATTAAATTGTTGTTTTGAACTGCTCAATTTTCGATTTGTTTGCTGATGTCGTATGTCTATATTTTAGCATGCAGCATATTTATTTATAAACAATCTTCGTGTGACCTATATGTCACATGTTCGAACCGTGGAAGCAGTCATTAATGCTTCCATTAGGATAGACTGTCTACATTACACCTCTTAGGGTGCGGCCCTTCCCCGGACCCTGCGTGAATGGGGATACCTTGTGCACTGGGCTGCCCTACATGTCCATTGTATCGAATACCAAATTCTTTTAGCAAGAAAGACCTCCACCTGTTATCATATGTTTATATTTTAACTCATTTTCAATTTCTGCAAGTTATTAAATGAACTGAAAGAGCGATGCCCGCTATCTTCATTCTTCTTAAATATGTCGAGAACTCGAGATATAGTTGATGATGGAAAGAGAGTTTCAGAGGTTTACTGTTTATAAATGTCAATCTTGTTATACCACATAATTTCCTTATTTTTTCTTTCCTTTTCACGTATTGAGGACCTCATTTTGCTGGCCATTGATTTCTGCATTTTGACTCAACATTCTAAAATTAACATCTTAAAGTAAGGATCCAGATATGTAGACACTATTATTCAAGTGTTCAGTATACCATGTGTGTGTTGCCTAGTCTGCTTGAATGATGTTTCCAAGTGCTTTTCTCTTGATCTTTTCTCTTTTATACTTTTGGGTCTTTAGCTGTTTCTTTAGTGAATTTAGCTCATAAATGTGTGATTTGAGGTGTTTACTAGTGATATCGAGATGGTTTGAGTTACCAGTGTATGCCATTTCTGAAGTCATTGCTTCTCATTTTCCCTACAAGTAACAGGCATGCAAGCCTCCTATGTTATCACTGATACTTTGGTATTTATCTTTACAATTCAATTTGATGTTCATACTCTCTGAACTTGCAGTAGTAATTCTATTCAGCCAGGGAAAACTTGAGGAATTGAAGGAGTCAAGAATGGAGGTTGCGGAATTGGAGCTGTTACTGAGGACCTTTGAATTTGCTTTGTCCCAAATTAAATGGCGTCTCAAACTTCCATCAAAGCGTCGCCTTCAAACAGATATTTTGGCCTTATGCACTGAGATGAGGCCAGTTGTAATGGTGGACTATGGAGGGAAGATGCCTGAACTGCAAGACCGGCTCTCTGCATTCCTTAAACATTGCCAAGAGGAGTGCTCAGTATTTAAGCCTTTGCATGTTATGGTTATCGAAGATATGATATACTTGGTTCATGCACGAGCATTTGCAGAGTTTGTTAAGTCTAGTTTGGACTTGGAGACGAGATTGATCTTTGTCGACCTTGAACAGGATCCTCCGAAGATGATAACACAAGTGGAAGAAAGCTCTGTGGGCGCAGAACTTGTATTGGCACAAAGGACATTTTCCTCTGTCTTTTCTGAAGATGGAATAAAGACTGATCACTTGGAACATCAGAAACCAGAAGTTAGAGCAAACACTGACTCCTCTGTTTATGAGCCAACTTCTTCACAGTCTTCTGAAGTAATTGATCTCAGTGATTGCATTAGAGAAACTCATGTTACAATCCCAACTCTAAATGGATGGCTGCTTGGTTATCCTATAGTTTACCTATTTGGGATGTCTCATATTGAACATGCCATATATAACCTCTCGACAAAGTCTCTGCATCTTTTCCAAGTCCTTGTTTGCAGGTGCAATATAGGATCTCAGGCTCAAAAAGAGGAATTAATGAGTTTCTCCGTGCCATATGACTTGAGCTTGGAGGGAATGAATGAGCCATGGGCAGAGGCATTTTTGACTCATATAAAGACAAAGCAAGAACGGTGCGACCAAGTTTGGACATCCCTACAGATGAAGGTTAGAGCTTGTTACCCGCAAGCAATTGCGTTATAGTAAACTGCTAGTTACTGATGTCAAGTTAATACTCAAAAAAGAAAAAAAAAACATATTTTTCAAAATTATTGCTAATGCCATGGCTGCTATGTATTTTTGAATCACCAAGTACACTGATTATTTGGAAAGTGACAGTTTCCAATGTGCACTTTTGCAAATTAGTTATTTTGATCCCAATTAGTTGATATCACCTATATGGATCCTTTACCTTCATTTTGTTGTGTTCTTAGTTGAACCAAATTGATTTTGAGGGTTTTTGGTTGTTTAAGACACCATTCCTCCATGTGAGTTTAGGTCTACCTCTTCTCCTTTTATCACCTTTAATGACCATATTGTTGCACCTACAGACCGATGAATCTGTAGGTCTACTTAGGATATGGCAAAACTATCTCACGTGACCTCTTAAATTATCCTAAACGCGTGCTATTTGCTCCCTCTTTGGATGTAATCATTTAAAATTTTATCTACTTTTAACTTCACATTCATCTTAATATCTGCATATATGTGACAATCAACTTAGGATTTAGAGGTCCAACGTTCACTCCGATTTAACATGATAGTGTTAAAACTGTTCTACAGAGCTACTCACCCATTTATATGGGGACAAAAATTCTGAAATAGGACAAAAGGGTAGAGCTTTTGGCATTTAGTCTGAATCGCTATGAAGGGCATAGCGATTCAAAACCATGCGTGAAGCTGATGGTGTACGGCAGAACAAGAGGAGCACACATATAGGGAATATTTTTGGCATTTAGTTTGCCACTAGGAAACAAATTGATAGGATCTATCCTCTACAGATCTTGGTATCTTGAATGCAGATAGGAATTCAGAGAGTTAGATTTGCTTGATAAATATACCAGGGCCTCTTCAACTACTATGAGACTGAATTGCGTGATTTCTTCCCTGTCCTATGTGACAACAGCTCAACCTCAGGACCAAGCTCCTTGAATAACCCTATCAGGGGCGGAGGTAGAGTACTACTTACGGGTTCGGATGAAACCAGTAACTTTTGCTTAGACTTTGTATTTGTATTAAAAAATTCATTAAATGTGTATAACTATTTAACTGTGAACCCAGTAACTAAGACGTGTTATGGGTTCGATGATAAGTCCAAAACCCATAAACTTCAAATCCTAGCTCCGCCTCTGCCCTATTAGCTAAACCAACTCAGATACAACAAAAGCAATGCTGTCCATTGGTTCTTCTTCACCACATACGCAGCCACTGTGAAGCTGTCCATTTTCTTGGTTTAGTTGTTTTCCTAGCCATAAGCTGCTTTTACCAATATGCTAAGATCGAAGGTAAAACCGGGGGAGAATGACTAATGTTTATTGGGTATTTGCTGTGATCGGAGTGTTGAACTTTGGTTATTATTTACTACTCCTTCCGGTCCACAATAAGTGATTTTTTGTCTCTTTTTTGTGGTCCAAAATAAGTGATTTTTTCAGATTTCAAGTGAATTAATTATTTTTTTTCCTACATTGCCCTTGGAGTAAATAGTGTTGGAGTATGTGTTAGGAGTATTTATGTGAAGAGATAGTAAAGGTTAGTATGGTCAATTTCATTGCTAATTAATGTTAAAAGGTAAATTTCTTAATCTATGTGAAAACAACCAAAAAATCACTTATTGTGGACCGGAGGGAGCATGTGTTTGGTTTTACAAGAAACAAATTGGGAAGAAGGGAGTTGATCATGATGCATCTGGGATGTTTCCTATAATTTATTTTAGCAAATGCCTCTATTATGTAGCTCTCAGTTTTGTGTTATTTTTTGTTTTTCTATTTCTTTGACTTCTTGAGATTAGATAATTTTGGTGTATATTTACAACAACAATAACAAGAACAAACCTAGTGAGTTCCCACAAGTGGGGTCGGGAGGGTAGGATGTACGCAACCTTACCCCTACCCTGGAAGGGCAGAGATGCTGTTTCCGATAGACCATCCGCAATTATGGTGTATACTAGTCGACCTAACTCAACTTTGTGGTTAAAAGGTATATAAAATTGGATATATCGGCTAACTCAACTTTATGGTAATTAATTTCATGTAAATTACTTTATAAAGTTTTAAATTATTAGGTACCTTACATATTTTTACTTTTTGTTCGGTTTATTTCTAGAACTTCTGTATTTATTTTAATGCTTTCAGAATATTTATTTTTCAAAAGTAACATATAATAAGTAACCAAATCTCACGGTAGTTTTCAAAAATATTCTATGTTTCCAATATCAAAATCCTCTGTTGATTTCCAATAAATAAAATTATGGCTTTGTTTTATACTATTAAGTTTCATAAATATTTAGGCTTGTAAGTGTCTTTAGAAAGAAATATAATCATAATTATAAGGTGAGCAATATGTCTATCTAATGTACGTCAGAGGGTAACCTTTTTTGGAGTTAAGATCACTTTATTATATACGGAAGAAACATAAATGACGGGCTAATAGTTATTTTAATTTGTCGATATTAAGAATGTATTTATATAAGTTAAATTATATGTGGCTTTAAATTTCTAAATATCAGGAGTTGTATTATATAATTCCAATAAGGAAAGACTTAATAGCCAAAATATTAGTTAATTTTAAAATCTTAAATATTAGGAACTTAGGTAAATGACTATTTTGTCTAATGGTGAAATCTATTTTTAAATGGTAAAAAAGGCGAACGACATTTTGCTAAGGAATTTCATGCTTTTAATATAGTATTAGATTTTATGTACGTGCTTCGCACGTAAAACCTTATAATTAAAAAGAGAACGATAAAACAATTCACCAACATGACTTGAATCTTAATGGATACTGTGAGGATGTTTGTTACTTGGATTTTAATACTTTATATATGTCCTAATATCTTCTTACGACATGACTTAAAAGAAAGATTTATAAGAAAACCATCATGATTGTAGGACGTGATTTTTTTTATACTATTGTAAATTTATGGTAAAACGCAAACCATCTTTTTTCCAATTGAGGCTTTTTTCCCTTTCATTTAAGGATTCTTTAGCGAAAAGTTTAGCAAATAAGATATCTTTATGTATTACTGTTAACGCAGACTTTGTTACGAGGAAAGACTCTTAAACCTAGTAAAGTTCCACTTTTGCTTTTTAATCCATGCGACAATCTGCCCACAGTTAAAAGTCACTCATAAAATTTTTCAAATACAAAATATGAATTGAATTCAAAGTTTCAATGTTAGAAAAAGTTCTAAATATGACAATTTTATTAACAAATAATTATCTTTTAAAAAAAATAATTTACCTTTTAAAATCTAACAATTTCTATATTCTATTCTCAAATCTACCATATATATATATATAGCGGTTAATTCTTCCTCTGTAAACTAAATTAAGCTGGTAACCTGAAATATATTAACCTGCTATACTTACAAGAAAATAATAGTGTTATATTTGAGTCTAATAGTAATACACAAACGGTGAGACTTTTCTTGACAATATTAGATCATTCAAAGCTTTTAACCCATAAAATAATAAGCTTTTAACCCATAAAATACACAATATTAAACTAAAGTGTAAAAAGGATTTACACTATTAAATTTTAAAAACAATTTGAATAACATTGGGAATAAAAAACTCAAACCAAAAGTTATATATACCGATAATAGGGAGACTTCGAGTCGTTTTAATGGTAAGCAAAAGTAGTCACTGACTTTCTCCATTAATCAATCGCGTTTCAAACCTTCTAACAGTGTGGTGCTAGGATTGCAGCACTGAAAGTTTCAACCTTTGACATCAGGAGTTACGATTCTCGAATTGAAACTCTAAGTGCATTTATTCAATTAATATCTACATTAGATAATTAAAAGAAAAATACCCTTTTATGGTCTGCAAATTAACTTGGTCATCCTTAAAATACAATAAAATATAAAATTTTATCCAGAATGCATACATCAAGACCAAAAGTAGGCTATATCGAAATAACATAATACAACTGAGAATAAAACATTTACCATAATACTATCTTCGAGCATCCCTAACAACGTGATGATACCGACAAAATATAACAAAAGTTAATGGCTGCAATTTGAAATACTGATAAAAACATAAAACTAAATTACCAGTAAAGTATTTATATGTATTACCTTTATTCATTGAATCTAAACACATGAGCCTTTTTTATAAAAAACTTTGTTGACTTGATGTGGTTTGTATATCATATTATTGTGTTTCCTTTTGGTTTGTTTTATTGTTGTATAATATTGGAGATGGGTAGCAGCGGGTTGGTGCTGGAGGATGAATCCAAAATTAATTTGGATAGGGTACTTCACCTTCGCACGTTTTCCTTTTTTGCTCAGCTTATGTATAATTTAAATCGGAACAGAATTCTAGCCGTAAGTGATTTACAATTATATCCTTAAATTATACAAATATTTAAGGGCATAAAAGTCGATCAATATTTTAAAGATATTTTAATCGTTCAATATTTAACATATATTATTCGTGCTTTTATAATAATATAGATAGATAGATAAATTTATTTTGAGAAAATACTTTTAGTTCATGAATGCACTCCAAGGCAACAATATGAAAGAAAAAGAGATACAAGGATAAAAGTAACAACATTTTAGCATCAAAGTATAGATACTACTATTTATAACAACATTCCGCGTAAACTGGTTCGAACATCTCTTCAAATTTACCAAGCAATACTTGTGCCATAGTATAAATATCACTACCCTTTGGATTATAAATTATGGCATTGTTGAATGTTAGTCTCACATCATCTGCAAATTCTTGTGGTGTTTTGTACTCATCCCTCTTCAGCTTTAATTTCACAGTTCCAAGATCCATAGGGTGTTGAATTATATCGTAATAATCGTTTGAGTTTAAAAGCCTTAACATCAATGCTAAATACCCATCCAAATTGATGCTTCAATAATTTCCTCATAATTTTTTGGCACTTGATTTTCATAATTGTACTTGATTTAACTTTAATCCCTTCAATAATATCATCATTTGAAGCTAACGTTAACGCGCGTTTTTTACCAGAGAGATTCTTGTTCTTGTTCTTGTTCTTGCTATTTTCACCAATTAATTCAGGAGTCTGATAATAATTTCCACTGAGATTTGATTCTGCCAATTTATCGTTCTCTGTTTCCTTTTCAATGTTTATGTAAGTGAATTTGTTTTCACTTAAATCATTGAAATTTGAAGCTTGTTTGCTCTGATCA